AGACAACCCCGTAACAATATGCGTTTTGTACTGCTGTTACACAGCACAAAACGCATAAAAACAGTTGAACTATCAGCAAAATTAGGCTCAACAGCGCCATGCTGTGGAGGGGTAGAAGCATAAGCAGATCCAGGACGGGCTCCTGAAGAGAAGGGGCGACGGGGAATGTGGTCCCCCTTCTCATCCTGAAACTATGCAAAAACTAGGAACAGAGTTGTAACACTGCAGCTTAGAGTTACTTTAAGCTTTAGTTCACTTTAGTTTTAGCTTTAGACCCAAAATTTTGCAGCACTGATGTCTGTGTCGCTGAAGAAAAAGGGAGGAGGGGGGAAGACCCTTCGCACCTTTCTCCCTCTCTTTGGGCCCGCCTATGAATAGAAGTGCAGTGAAATCAGAAAAATCATAGGATGTGGTGCAAGAAGTTAGAGATACTCAGCGGCTGATGCGCAATTAAAGCTCCGAGTGCGCGTTTCCCTATGGAACCAATCCTAAGTATGCAGCAACGAACACTCGAAAAATGGAATTCAGATTGTCAATGGTGTTGTAATCTATGGCACTGGCATCATCTGACGGTTTGTGCCAAACTGCCGGGAATGGCAGGGGGATGAGATGTAGCACCGGTACGCCATGCTTCAGGAATGGAACGTGATCATCTTCCACTTTGCTGAAAGCTGTGCGTGGCTGGAATATTTGTGGTATCTGGTGCAAACAGCCAATCTCTCGAAGTGTTTTCTCTGAAACAAAAACTGGTGTGCAATGGAATGAACCGTAAAAATAACAGCAAACGGAAAATTTGTCTACGATTAGATTTTTGAGAGAAAAAAAGTGAAAACTGTTTCATCGCCAAAAAAAATTAATGAAAAAAAAGAACATGAAAAGGGGGTTAATTTTGCTTCTCTTTAGCTGAAATTTTAGGCTTGCTACGAAATTTTAAGCCCCGTTTGCTTGACACTGCATCACTGCTCAGACTGCTAGGAATACGAATGATTTTTGAGCTTCTCAACAATTTCCTTTGCGTTTTTTCCCCTTTCAAATATAAGATTAGCACAAGGCGTACTTTATTCACAAATTATGTAAATAAAAATATTAAAAAAACGTAAAAAAGCAACGTTTTAAAAACGCGCAGGTGATCAATGGAATCTACTTGGCCATACAAAAGAGATTTAGGAAATGGACGCTATTTCTGACCTTCCACATAACTACCAGCACAGTGTGTATTTTTATTTACAAGTGCATAATTCTGCTCTTTTTAATAGCCATTCACATCAAACATAGCCCCCGATTGTGGATGGTACCCGCGTACGAGCCCGCCAAAGTTTTTCTCAGGTAC